ACGTCTATCAAGAAGAATTAACCATAGCTGCCGCCCTCGACTTTGATTGGCTAAGAGCGACGATAAAAAGATTAGGCCGGAATTACTCATAAATTTACTAATGAAATCATAGCTGCCCATTAAATGAAAATTGTTCCTGGGCCAATTTTACCATAACGCCTATTTATGGGGGATGCCTAAAGCCAGGTGCGTTTATATGTTTTTGATTATTTAATCAAAATTAGGGTAAGAGTTAATTAGAGGTTAGGGTTGGAGAAGTTCTTATAGGTAAAATTGTCTTACCGGCATTTTTTATTAGTGCTTCAAGACAGGTTTAGACACTCGTTTCTTGTATTTTTGACGTTTTTCATTGTTTTTGTCTCATCGGGCTGATCCGGGCTAATCAAATTTTATATTTTGATTGGCTGTTAGTCACGTGAATGTACCTGGCTTTAGACCGAAATACTTATTTTTGCGAGTGGTACAAACCCAAAAAGGAAATCGCATTTGTAAATAACCTAAGAATGTTTAGTGATTAGAACGTTAGGGTTAGGGTTAGGGTTAGTGTTAGGGTTGTGAGCTTTAGTGATAATATGAGTTTTTTATATGTAAAATTTCGTTCCTGTTATTTTTTATTAGTCCAACAAGGTCGATTTAAACACTAGTTTTTGAGTATTTTCTCTTTTTCGGTTTTTTTCTTTGCTTTGCTCACGTGTCGGGCTGATCCGAGATCATCACATTTTACATTCTCCGATTGGCTAATTTCCCTTTTTGGATTTGTATCACTCGCACAAATAAGTACACACGCTTTAGACAGTCCTTATTTTTGTAATAAAAAATTAAAAAGTTAATTCCGGCTAGAAATTAGTAATCAATTTTGTAATGTGGGCCAAAATTTCGAAGATCCTCAGCTGTTGGCCAATCAAAATAGAGGATTTGCCAGTCCAAATTTGTTGCGGTAGCTATGGTTAATATCAAAAAGAAGAGCTGAGCCAAAATTTTTATCAATAATGTTTTAGAGATTTTGCCATTTCAGTTTTTGCTAAGTTTCAGAGGTTTCGCCAGGTTTTAGAAGTTTTGCCTATTTTGGAAATTTTAGATTTATTTCGCCTTTGAGAGCATTTCGGTTTTACCTTTCAGATTTTGGAAATGGATTTCGCCTGTTCTAATAGGACCAATCAATTAGTATTATTGTCTAATCTGGTCCTTTGGTTCTTAAAACAATCTTTAAATCGTCGCAATTATGATAGTTTTTTAATTTGGTATTATCTTATAGATAAAATCATAATTACAACAGGCTATATTATTGGATTACTTTGACTAGCGGTCTAAACTGGTCCAGACTGGGTCAAGACCAAGAACCCGAATAAGCTTCAGTCCTGGTTCAAAGACCGGTTCAAACTGGTCTTCACAAGGACCAATCCAACCCCACCAAGCCAAATTCAATGAATTTTTTCTTATTCAAATTCTATAAATTTGTTAGATTTAAAAAAAAAAAAAAAAGTTTATTGAATTTGACCCAGTAGTTGTTAAAATACCTTTATTTAAACATTGGAAAAAATTTTGGTATAGTTTCTTTTATAGGTGTTGAGTTTTTTAAAACTTTGAACAAAAATATCTTGACAACCACCAGGCCAAATTCAATGAACTTTTTTATATTTTACTCTACAGATCCGTATAATTAAATAAAAAAACACTCATTGAATTTAGCTTGGTGGTTGCAAAGATATCTTCACTTAAACAGTTTTTTTTAAATAAATGTTTTGAGTTTTTTGAGACTTTGAAAGAAGATATCTTGACAAAAATTTAATGTGCTTTTTTTTATTTAAATTTTACACATTCATATTATTCAAATAAAAAAAATTCATCACATTTGACTTGGTAGATGTTGAGATATCTAAAATATATATAAATAAAGTGGTTATTAAAAAATTTGACTTGTTTTTTTCTAATAAAATAAAAAAGCAAAGGTGGTCATCTTTGAGTCATCCCCATGCTACCAACTACTAAGACGAGCATGCCTAGTACTAGTGCTAGCACTCTTGCTAGCCTTGGTGAGAGCTCAACAAGGCAAGGCTTTACTTATTTGTACCAGTAATACAACCCAAAAAAGAAAATTAAAATTTGTAAAAACTAAGTGCATAAAAATAGAAGTTTAGAATTAGAACATTAAAGCATTAGGGTTGTGAGCTTTGGCAATAATTTGGTATTTCTTATATGTAATATTTTATTTTTATTATTTTTTATTAGTCCAACAAGGTTGATTTAAACACAGTTTTTAAGTATTTTCGCCTTTCTTTTTTTTTATTTCATATGTGTTCAGGGCTGATTTAAAATTTGTGTTCCATTTTCTTGTATTCCTGGCACAAATAAGTAAAGCTGCCAGCCCAAATAAGATGCTAAAGCAGGAATCAATGATTAAGTTTTATATCATATAATGTGGGCCAAATATACTAACAAACAATTTTTACTTTGCACAATAATATATTGTCCTCCAGACACTAAGCTTACTAGTCTAATTAACTAAAAATTTTATTAGCTTGGTTGGTTGAAAAATTTTGATTGACTAAGGTTAATAGTACAAATCATAACTTTTTTTTTAGCGATTCCTGATTTTATGTTAATGTAATACAAATTAAATTTCATTCTATATATGTTTTATTAATTAAGTTTTTGATATTAGCTTTGAATTTTAAAACATAATTAAAATTTGATAGTGTTGATTATAATCAAAATTCTATTTACAAAATTTCAGTCAAATTCTATATTCATGCTGAACATTTAATTGATATAGATTTTTTGTAGTCTTCATATTCTATTTTAGCTTTTCTGTTATCTATATTATATATAATGTTAATGAGAGTTACTTCTTGATGTTCTGATTTAATACTACTCATTAATATCTTATTTGTACAAAGATTAATCAAGTACATAAAACATCTATGCAGATTCTAATAATATTTGGCATGATCTAAATGTTCTTCAAAATTTTTTTTATTTACAACAAGTTCAAAACCATATATTAGTAAATCGTGATCATAGAGAAAAATATCCAAACATTTATATCAATTACTGTTAATGTCACATTCTTTTGTCTCAATGATTACTTGATATTGTTGAACAGAATAAATATTAGATAGTAAATATTTGTGAATAGCTAAAAATTCAGCCTTAAATGCATATTCTGACAGATTATTGTCAGTGTTAAGTGCTTGACATATGAAAATATTTTGAACAGTGAGGTTCTATATAATGTAAGGTACTTAGCCAAAATTTCATTATTATACACAAACCAAATTCATATAAAATACTTACTTCAATAATATTTTCCAATATCAATTTTAGTTATAGTTTGTAGCGGGTTTATTATATTAATGTCAGGCCCACAAATCATTGAAAGGACTATACTCTGGAGAATTGGCAACAAAAATTCAATTTCTATAAAATTTTTATTTATGGATTTAGAAACAACAATTCCTTCAAGTTCCAAGTTCTTTTATATACTTTATTAGCTTTGCTGAAGTATATTTCATCCACTAATCAAATATTAGCATGTTTTCTCCCACCATCACTTCAGTTTCTATCACCTTGCAACAGGCCCCAACCAGACCTTTGTGACTATTAGTGCATTCATAAATGTCTTCAGCAATTCTATATATATCAAGATTAATATCATATTGATTGCTATATTGATAGAGAAGTATTCTTACTTTATTGTTATTAAAAAACATGTGACTATAATATTGCTAGTTATAAGATTGGTTTGTATTGGAAACTGACCAACTCTCACAAACACAAATGAATATACACAGTAGAATAAGTGGTCTTTAAGTAATTGTAACATATTGATAAGCTCTTCCAAAATTAATTGTTCTTTAAAAACATTAGAAAAATCATCAATTATAAGTGAAATAAGAGACTTATTCTTTTCTTTCTTAAAGAAATTTATGAAAACATTTGCTCAGCATTTTTTTGTGTCATTAAAAAAAACTGTTTACTAATTTTAGCACAAAATAGTTTACAAATTGATGACCAAAAGACTATTTTTATTTCTTATATCAATTCTGATAGCGAATATAATCAAATATATTTCAAGATTAGGTACTGATAGCTCATTGGTGTATGCTTTTTCTTGTAAAATATTTATAGTTGCAACAATAGTGGTCATCTTTCTGCTTTGGCAATTACTTTTAACATAAATGTAGTGTCCGTCTACAAGATGCTGATACATATCCACAATTGTATATTCTGAAGAAACATAAAAATTAACCTTTTTATTAGCTTCTATACCCTCGGAAAAATGCTCTGAAAAAATAAAATTATATTAAATTTTTAATTTATCTATTCCAAACAAGTACTCATAACTTACTAAACAATTTAATCTTTTTAGAAATTGGTATAAGATTTTCATTATTGCATTTTTTTTTCTTCCAAATCTTTATTTTTTTTTAGATCTTTATTTTTTTTTTAAAATCTTTATTTTTTTTTCAGATCTTAATTTTTTTTCAGATCTTTATTCTCTTTTTCTGATTTTTATAAACCAAAAGAATCTATAAGTAAGATATTCCCAATATAAGAAAATATATAGCTGATTTCTTTTTATAATCAGCAGGACATATAGTTAATGAATTTTCTATAGCAAATATTTGCACATCTCAGAGGAAATGATACAAAGCTTATAAAAAAGTTTGTTGGATCTTTGTTTTGCTTTTGTTATCTATAGTGACTCTATTCTGAAAAAATTATAACTTACTAGTGCTATTTTAAAAATTTTTAGAAACAATAATTATGACTCACTAATGTGCTTCTGAAAATTTTTCGAATAAAATTGACAAAAATTACAACTTGCTAGTGTGCTTCCGAAAAGTTTTCAACAAAACTATAACTCACTAGTGATTCCTAAGCCTGTGCTAATTAAGTAAAACAGATGCTTTTGCTATATTTATTAAACAAAGACTATATCTATAGCAACCTTATTCCAAACATTTTTTGAATAATTTTGACAAAAATTAAACAAAGATCTAATATTCTTTTTTACAAGGGGCATCACAATGGCTGGATGCTCTTCTTCTCTATACTAGCAAAACAGGATATAGCACACTTCACTACTTTTTGTTAGTAAAATACTAACCTCTAAGTTTCTCAAAGCTAGAGCTTTTTTCACTTTATATGTTCTAGATGCTAAATTTTCAATTAAAGTTTTAAGTTCTGCAACTAAAGAGACACAACACACTTGCAATGATTCATCAGGTTTTGTTTAATGAAAAACTAGACAAATTTCTAAGCCTTATTCATAGTATGATTTCCTCTAATAGTCTGGGTACTGAAGTTTTTCTAAGATAACTTGTAATATAGAGTGAAGAGAGTGAAGAGATATAGACTAAAATAAAAGAAGGTAGGTTAAAAGCTAAAAAATATATACTGGTATATTTATGATTACAGTATTTGGTATTCATATAACAATTTGTTACACTTGATCACTAAGGGGTTCAAAAATAGTATTTTGGGAATTTAAATTGTTTTTTTAAATGATTAATAAGTCAGATTAAGATTAAAATTAGATTTCTGTATTTTAATTCAAAGAAAAATTTTTTGCTCAAATTTTTTGTTAATATTAATTATCTAAGTTTTTTTATGGATACTCCAGTTCCAGATACGCTGAATTTAATTATAAGTAAATTAAACAATTTTATTATCAGGAATCTCACTAATATTTATATATATTGTTATAGAATGTATTAACATTATAGAATGTATTAACATTATAGAATATATTAGAGATTTTATCTTTATTAGATTCAGAAGATTGTAATGATCAAAACAAGCTATAATACAAGACAAACAGACTATTGGTTAGCTAAATAATACCTTTTATATCTTTTGTATCTTTATACTTTTTGTATCTTTTATACCTTTTGTATCTTTTATACCTTTTATAGCTTTTGTACCTTTTGTATCTTTTATACCTTTTATATGTTTAGTACTTTTTATACCTTTTATACATGTTGTAAAAGCTATATAAACCCTAGCTTTT